GGTTCCATTAAACCTCCAGTGACTCCCACTGACCAAAGGAGGTGATCCCAGCATGCTGGCCTGGCCTCTGCCCATGATGGCCCACCTCTTCCCCAACACACACTTCCCAGCGGCTGTTTCTTGCCCCTAGGCTTTTGCTCCTGCCATCCTCTCCGCCTCCAATGCCATCTCTCTGGGCTCAGCTCAAGAACTGCCTCCTCCAGGAAACCTTCCTGGAATCCCAGACTGCGTGAGATGCCCTTTCTGGCTCTCACTACAGTGGGCTCAAAGTTGGTGTTCATTTGTCTGTTTCCCCCTGCTAGACTGTGAGATCTCAATCATGTAAATGAGCCCTGAGCAAGGTAGGGTGAAAGGAGTGGTCTAGCCCTGAGGCCAAGGGCAGGGCAGGGGTCAGGCTCACATAGTCAGCCAGGAAGGGAATGCCATGAGGGAAGCGCTTGGGATCTGGCATCAGGCGGCCACTGGCATCGCGCCCACCGATCCAGCAGTCATCAATGTTGAGGTATGTGTAGCCCATGTCCCGCCATCCATCCTGTGCCATCCGGTCAGCCATCTCCATGAAGAGCCTTTCACTAGTGAGGGGCGGAGGGATGGGGTAGCTCAGGGACCCAGCCCGGCCCGAACCCACACCCTGCCTCAGCTCTGATTGAATCTGGGCTATAAAAACCATGACCTTGCTGAGCCCTAAGCCAGGTATCACTGTAAATGACCACCAGGGATTGTGCCATGAGCCATAAGCTGGCTTGAAAGGAGTGGCTGGCCCCAGGCCAAAAGGCAGGACTGGGTCAGGGGAAGTACGAGGGCCTGGCCTGACCTTCTAACAGTTATCTCAGGGGCTGGGTTCATGTAAGGTCTCTGCCTCGTGACCAGGTTGGGGCCTGACAGTCCCTACAGAGGCCCCAGGCAGGTCACGGGGCTAGGTGTCAGACAGTCCAAGTGACTTCTGGCTGCAGTCTCTGGGATGAAGAACTCTGACCTTGTCTTCTTTTCTACTGGACCCTCCACTTCCTGCCCCCAACTCTACAGGGCCCTGGGCAAGGCTCATCAGGTGGGTGTGGACCTTACTCACCTGATGCAGTTCTTTGGGTCCTCATCACAGTTAATGTTGCAGCGGAAGCGTTCCCAGGCCAGCCAGCCCATGGGTGGTGTCTGCAGGAGCCCATTGTCCAGCATCAGCACCTGGGCCACATGCCCCAGCAAGAGCACTAGGGGGCAAGGGAGGAGGGGATGGTGACTGTCAGTTGCCCCCACAGCTCCAGCCCTCATCCCATCCCATCTGTATGTTGCTCAGCCCTACAGAGGCTGCCTGCCTATATATAAGGGAAACTAGACTTCTAGGTTTAGGGTAGAATTGGCTCTTCCTGCAATGGCTGGCTCTTGCAAAGCAGTAAGTGGGAGGATGGTGCCTGGGCCAGGCAGTGGCTTGAGGTCTGGCCGTCACCACAGCAGTGCTTGAATTAGCAAAACTAACACCTGAAGTTATGTCCTTCCCATAACCCCTATCAGCTCCTCCCATCCCATATACAGAACTTAACAGTACATATGCTCCTAGGCCTACCATGGAACTATGTTCTCGTAAACCCAGTGTAAGTTGAAAATATCACATCAGCCAGGTGCAGTGGCTCACACCTGCATTCCCAACACTCTGGAAGGCCGAGGCGAGTGGATCACTTGAGGTCAGGCCAACATGGTGAAACCTTGTCTCTACTAAAAATTCAAAAACTTAGGCGTGGTGGCGTGTGCTGTACCTGGGAGGCTGAGGCAAGAGGATCACTTGAACCCCAGAGGCGGAGGCTGCAGTGAGCTGAGATCGTGCCACTGAATGCTAGCCTGGACTGTGACAGAGCGAGACCCCATCTCAAAATAACAAAATATTATGTCAAAAATGTACTTAATACACCTAACCTGCCAAACATCATAGCTGAGCCTAGCCTACCTTAAAAATGCCGACAGGCCAGGCACGGTGGCTCACGCCTGTAATTCCAGCACTTTGGGAGGCCAAGGTGGGCGGATCACCATTAAGTCAGGAGTTCAAGACCAGCTTGGGCAACATGGTGAAACCCCATCTCTACTAAAATTACAAAAAAAATACCGGGGTGAGGTGGTGAGTGTCTGTAGTCCCAGCTACTCAGGAGGCTGAGCAGGAGACTTGCTTGAACCTGGGAGGTGGAGGTTGCAGTGAGCCGAGATTGCGCCACTCCACTCCACTCCAGCCTGAGTGACAGAGTGAGACTCCATCTCAAAAAAAAAAAAAAAAAAAAAAAAGTGCGACAACGCACATTAGCCTACAGCTGGGCAAAATCATCTAACACAAAGCCTATTTTATAATAAATTGTTGAATATTTCATGCAATTTACTGAATACTGAAACACAATGGTTGTATAGGTACTGTGGTTTCTACTGAATGTGTGTCGCTTTCACTCCACAGTAAAGTTGAAAAATCCTTAAGTCGGGGCCATTAGCCAGACTCCAGGACTCCTGAGCCCCAGTCCAGGGCACTTTGCTGTCTACCACAGACCCTCAAGAGGCTTCAGAGAGGCTTAAAGAAGTAAGCCAGCCAGGACGGGCACCCAATCAGCTCACCTAAGTGAGCCCTTTCCTCCTCGGGCCTCAGTTTCCTTATCTGTAATATGGCGTTACTGTAGGGACTGTACAGGCGGTTCTCCGCACATGTTGATATCACATCAGATAGGGCCTCTGTACTTGAGGGAGAGGAAGTGAGAAAGGAAGGGCCCCTTTAAAGGAGAAATGATTCCTGTATGGGGAAGCATCTCCTCCCTTCCTGCCCAGCTCTAAGTAAAAGAGAGAGGGAACCTGTCTCCCCACATACCCACATTAGGGAAGAAGCGCCAGTCAAAGCCCTCCTTGTAGCACTCTAGCACTCACCCCTACCTCCCAAGCCACCCCAGCCGGTGTAGGTACCTGTCTTCAACAGCATTGCTCTGCACTCAGCTTCCGAGAACCTGACCAGATCTGGTCTGCGTGTATCAGCTGTATGTATTGGGCTCTGGAAGCTAAGAACGTCAGAAAAGCACTGGGGTCACGGCTGCCTGGCTAGTTCGGCCGCCCTCAACCTTGGACGTGGATCCTACACTCGGTCCCCAAGTTGCCCGCCCAATCCCCAGCCTCACTTCCCGGAGCTTGAGTTCTTCCTTCAGAAATACTGAACAATGTGTGTTGGATGTCAGACCTTACACCCTCTGCAGTGCTGGGAGTCCTGAGCGCCTACGGGCCGCCTTCGGCCCGGTCATGGCTCAGAAAAAGGCAGCGACCGCCTTAAGGTCGCCCAGAAAGAGCGGAGGGGCAGGGCTGCGGCCAGGCTCCGGACTCCCAGCCGGGTCCGGGTTCCCGCCCTGGGCCCCCCAAAACCGCAGAGCCCCCTCCCGCCGCACTTATCTTACCGAAGCGCTCAGACCCGCGGCCCCTTCTGACTCGATTCCGGTAACCTGATAAGCCTGAAGCGTTCCAGTGAGGGCGGGGCCTCACGAAGGCAACCCTCCGCGCAACCTATCAGAACCCCCCTAGCAACGCTGTGCCCCGCCCATACGGGCCCAGCTTCCCAGCCTCCCCAAGCCCTTCCCCACTGGGGTCCCGCCCTGCGTGCTAGCGAGGCTGGCGTTGGCAGAGCCGGCTTGGGGCTGTCCTTCGTGGCCCGGACCCCGCGAGGCTTCCACCTCTGTGGGGACCACGAGGGCGAAGATCGTGCCAGCCTCACCGCGGGCGCTCAGTAAGCGGCCGTGCAGTGAATACCTGCTGAGGGCTTTGATTAGAGGAAATGAAAGACTGCTCTGAAGCAAGGTCCCCCCTAGTGAGCCGCTGGGAAAATGGAAGTCTGGTATTAATCGTCTCTACGAGGAGGATGCGTGGGAGGCAGCAAAGCAGGCGGTCGCAGCTCCAGCAAAGGCAGCCGGCTCCCCTTCCCCGCCTGACGCTTAGGGACTGCTCGCACAGGCTCGGCTACTTCCTTCTTCATTCATTCATCAAGAATTTATTGAGAAACTGCTAGCTGCCAAATGCTTTGTTCTGGGCATTGTAGGGGCAGAAAGATCTTTTTCCTTACTCATCCCAAAGGTCACAGCGGACACTTCTATAAACAAAATATAGGTTAGCAAGAGAAAAGCATAACAGATTGATTTACGCAATGTTTTATGTGACTTGGGAGCCTTCAGGAATGAAGACACAAATACTCAGGGAAAACTTTATTTTTATGTCTCTGATGAAGAATGGACACCCCTGGCCGGGTCTGCTGGCTCATGCCTGCAATCCCAGCAGTTTGGAAGGCTGAGGCAAGAGGATCGCTTGAGGCCAGACATTTAAGGACAGACTGTGTCCAACATAGTGAGACCCCGTCTCTACAAAAAAATTAAAAAACCGGGCAGGTGCCTGTGGTTCCAGCTACTTGAGAGGCTGAGGTAGGAGGATTGCTTGAGTCCAGGAGGTTGAGGTTGTAGTGAGCTGTGATTATGTCACTGTACTCCAACCTGGGCAACAGAAAAAAGGAATAAGGAATGGACAATTGTATAAACGCAATTAGACAAAAGGGAATGATTTGATGTTAATAGCTGAGTGTGGAAACCCAGTAATGTCTGTCTGTTCAGATTCTTCTTGTTCTCTCTGTGTGGCATTCCCTCCTGCTGGGAAGAGGGCAGGACCCCTTCTGGAATGAGTGTCTTATGGCCTAGTATCAGACAAGGTAGGTCAGAGAATTTCTTTATGGCCAGGCCTGACACAGAAAGGTGGGGGATGTTTCCAGTAATATTCGTAGTTTCTTTTTTTTTTTTTCTTTTTTCTTTTTTCTTTTTTTTTGAGACAGTCTCCCTCTGTCACCAGGCTGGAGGGCAGTGGCATGATCTCTGCTCACTGCAACCTCCACCTCCCGGGCTCAAGTGATTCTCCTGCCTCAGCCTCCTGAGTAGTTGGGACTACAGGCGCACGCCACCATGCCCAGGTAATTTTTCTATTTTTAGTAATGACGGGGTTTCACCATGTTGGCCAGGATGGTCTCGATCTCTTGACCTTGTGATCCGCCCGCCTCGGCCTCCCAAAGTGCTAGGATGACAGGTATGAGCCACTGCGCCCGGCCAATATTTGTAGTTTCTGTAACTCACCTTAAGGAGGAGGAATTTCAGTTTCTATGGCCTGCCTTGCAGGAGAAAAATGGGAGAAAGAAGGGGGGCAGGAGAAGGTCACAGAGAGACTTGGCTTCTGAGGCTCTTCCAGTGTCCTTTGGTTCAAAGTACTCAGCACGCCCAAGTGTCATATTTTTAGGCATCGCTTTCTGACCCCTAACAGCACCTTCACTCAGATGACCACTGGGCATCTCAAACATAACCCAGACCAAGCACCGGCCACTTTCCACATCTCAGATAATGACAACTCTCCTAGGTGCTCAAGCCAAAACTGTGCAGTCCTTCCTGCTCTTTCCCTCACTCCCTACATCCAACTCCTCAGCAAATCCTGTGTTCTCTACCTTCAAAAGCCATTGTAAATCTGGCTGCCTCTCCCTCCCTGCTCTCACCGCCCTTGTGACCTCTCGCCTGGATAGTGGCAGCAGGCTCCTCACTGGTCTCCAGCTTCCACTGACATTGATTCTCGCCACAGCAGCGAGAGTACGCCTTGAAATCTCTCAGGTCCCTCCTCACAGCCCTGTCTAGACTAACAGCCCTCCCAGATTTACAGAGCCCCATCCCACCCCTTCCACCCCCACCTCCTACTGTTTGCCACCCCCTCCCCAGGCCTCCCAGCCTCACTGGCCTTCTTACACAACAGGCCTGAGGGCCACTGCGCTGACTGTTCCGTCTGCCTGGAATTGGCATGACTGGCTCCCTCATTTCCTTCAAGTACTTGTCCAATGTTACTTTCTCAGTGAGGCCTACCCTGACCACTCTATTTGTAATTGCAACCTCCCTACTCCCACAATTTCCCGTCTCCCTTATCCTCCTCTGTTTTTTCCGTGCCACTTATTACCTTCTAACACATTTATTATTATTATATAGTATTAACTGAACAAAATTTAGTAGGGGAGACAGGCAATAAACAAGAAAATAAAAGCCTGAGCATAGGAGAGTTTACTCTAGCAGTGAGTGCTCTGATGGAAATAACACCCTAGGGATGGGATAGACTGCAGGGCAGGTTGCTTTACAATGGTCCCAGAGGGGACCTCTGAGCAGAGACTCAAATCTGCCTCCAGAGGCGTCCTGAGGAGTGGAGCTGCGGCTGGGGGTGGGAAGGAAGGCCATTCTAGGCTGCAGGAACTGTAAGGGCAAAGGCTCTGAGGTGGGAGCCAAGTTCATGGGCAGATGTTTGAGGACACCTCCGGCTTCCAGGGCCTTCCAGAAGCTCCAGTCTCTTGGGTTTGGTTGTGCATTCCCGAGATCTTCACCGCAGGCCGCCTCCTGGACCCACTAGGGCAGAGCCTGGGGGCTGCCGGTGGGCTTCAGGCCAGGGAAGCAGAAATGGGTAATTTCCAGAGGCAGAAATCAGCCGACCCCGGTGGGCCAGTGGGTGGCCAGAAAAGCTTGACCGGCCCAAAAAGCTTGACCGGCCCTCGCGGGCTGTGTATGAGCCCACCCCTAGGAGGTGCCCAGAGTGAGACGTCCCTGGTTTGGCTCTGCCGGGGAAGTAGGCCTAGCAGGGAGAGGGGGACCAGAGACGAAGAGATGGACTGAGTTTTCCGGACGGTGGGCAAGGACCGAGGCCCGCGGACCATCTGAGGGGGACCTCTGGGTTCGAGGCCGCCCGCACCGACCAGTTCTGTGGCTCGGGCAGTTCAACGCCCTCTCGGGCCTCAGTTTCCCGCCCTCGCAGATCCCGAGGCCGCCTCGGAGATCCCGGGCCGGTTGAATACTGGGCGGGGAGGGGCGGTAACTCAAGCCTCCCGGGCGGGGTCTCCCAGCTCCCGCCGCCACGTTGCAGCCCAGGCGGAGGCGAGGGGTCTCGAGCCAAGATCGCCCTCTTGGGCATCGGTGCGATCGGCGGCGGGAGGTAAGAGTGGACCCGGCGGGCTCCGGGAGGAAGTGGCCCCAGGGAAGGCGTGGCCGTGGGGACGTGGTGGGTAACAGCCCCGACACGAGGACGGGGAAACCGAGGCGGTAGCCAGGGAGACCCTGACCGAGATGACCCCTGTTTAGGGCGATAGCCGAGTTGGTGCTCCCCGCAGTGGCCACTGGCACTGCGGTCCCGCACCCCCAGCTCGCCTCTCCTCCAACAAAAGAATCCAGGAAGACGACGGGGCAGGCGGGAGGCCGGGTGTGCGGGCGGCCTGGCCCCCCTGCTGGTGGAGAGGAGGAAGCGCCCTTCCCCGGACGCGGGAGAGGGGAGGGGGCATGGCCTCACGGGCTGCCCACCCCCTCCGTGTGCCCCAGTGCTGGGCCCAGGACCCCCAGTAAGGCCACTCCTCTGGCAAATATCTGTGATCTCCTCCTCCCGCTTCCTGGGCCACCCCTACTGGAATGGCCTCTCTCCCCATCCAGGGGCCTGACTTGTATTTCTCCATAACCCTTAGCATTACCGGTCTTTTTGGTATCTCTTATTTCACTAATTATTCTTTCATTAATTTATTAGCATTTATTTTGTTTGCCTACAGTGTGTTTCTCCCTGTGGGACTGTAGGCTCCAGGAGGGCGGGAGACTTTGATTTGTCCACTGATGTATTCCCATTAATTCAACAGATCCCTCCTGAGGGCCTATCTGAGCCCTGCACAGTGCTGGATATTGGGGTTCTCCTGGGAACTTAGCCGAGCCCCACCCTAGACATTCTGGGGCTGGGAACAGTGCTGTAAACACAAATGACATCGTCGTGAGATGAAGGAAACCAGAAATGGGGGGTCTACTGGTCAGATGATCTTAGGTCAGACCACCTTTGTGGTCAGGGCCACCTTAGATGATATGGTGATCATGCAGGGCCTCCCAGATTAGGTGACTTCAGTTAAAGCCACAAAGAAACTGAGTGGGAGGTGCTAGAAGGGAAAAGCTAGGAACCATGAGGGCACGTGTAGCTCTGACCTAGCCTCAGGCAGGGAGCTGGGGTCTGAAGAGTAAAGGTCAAGAAAAGGGGACCCAGCCCCTTAAGCTGCTCAGGGGTTCCTGGCTGGGTAGATGGGTGGGGGGATTCTCAGGGGTCACGGAAGGCTTCCTGGTGGAGGCTGTGGTTTCATTAGGCCTCGAAGGTGGAGTAGGAGTTCTCATTCTTTGGGATAAGCTGACTGGGCTTGAGAATTGTTTTGCAGGCTCCCTGGGAACCAGGTGGTCCAAGGGCTGAGCTGTGTGGCCAGACAAGAGGTCCCTGCCCTCCCCCAGTGAGCCCTGCCGGTAAGTGGTACAGTGTGAGGGATTTGGGAGTCGAAGCTCCCATCTGTCATGTAACCTTGGGCAAATTCCCCTCCCCGCGCTGGGCCTTGGTTTTCCATGAGTAAGGACAGTTGGACTAAGTGTCGTTCATGATCCTGGGGGCACCCACATTCAATGGTTGCGGTTAGATCTTCTCAGCTGTACCTGGGTTTATGCTACACTCTTGTTTACAGAGCAGGTCCCCATCTGGCCCTGAAGGCTGCAGATTGAGAGAGAAAACTAATGTTTTATCTGAGGAACTGGAGCCCCTTTAAATAATCAGGCCCAGACATATTGAAATGCAACAGCTGTCAAGTCTTACTCCTCCCTTGAGCTGAAGAATTATCTCTTTTTCTTTTTTATTTTCTTTTCTTCATGTCAGGTCAGTAATGTGCCCACATGGTAACAAGGTTCGAGGGTGGCATGGCTCACACATGCACGTGAACACCCAATCATCACACTCATGAACTACAAAAGGATCAAGAATTACCTCTTGAAGCCACTTGCTATGTGGCTCTAGAGCGACACCAGGTAGCCATAAAATGTTGTACCCTGGACACCCTCCAGTTCTTACCCTATAGTTCAACAATGTATAGCCAATCACTAATCAATATTATTTCTTTTTTTTTTTTTTTTTGAGATGGAGTTTCTCTCTTGTCACCCAGGCTGGAATGCAATGGCACAATCTCAGCTCACTGCAACCTCTGCCTCCTGTGATCAAACAATTCTCCTGCCTCAGCCTCCCGAGCAGGTGGGATTACAGGCATCCGCCACCGTGCCCGGCTAATTTTTGTATTTAGAGATGGGGTTTCACCATGTTGGCCAGGCTGGTCTTGAACTCCTGAGCTCAGGTGATCCACCCCCACCTTGGCCTCCCAAAGTGCTGGGATTACAGATGTGAGCCACCGCGCCCCGCCAATCAATGTTATTTCTATAAACCAAGGAGAATTCATGCCAAACAACTTTGTCATCCTTGCCCCCTTCTGCCTATAAAAACCTGCTTGTAGGAAAGGCCCAATGCATCACACCCCACGACAACTTAGAAGTTTGTTCTGTCCTTACTCTCACTCAAGTAAACTCTTTAAAGTTATATTTTGTGCCTCAGCTTCTGCCTTTAGGTCACTGAGATTCAACTGCTATATGCAAATAAGAGGCCAGTAGAGGCCCAGGAGGGTCATGGAAACCCTGGAAGCTTGGCCTCAGAGTTGGAGTTGAGAGGACCCCAGATCAGGGAATAGTTTAAGCACAGTGGTTTTGATGGGTCTGGGGTCCATTTCAGCTCAGCTGACGCCTGTTTGTTTGGATTTTAGAAAGCCCTGCCCAGGTCCTGCCATGCCTCCTGTCTGATGCAATCTTGTTATTCTTTTCTCCAAGTCCGCCAATGTCCAGTTTTTTTTTTTTTTTTTTGCATGATCTTCACAACATCCCTTTGAGAGAAAAGGAAGGAAAGACAAGCCCACTTATCAGGAGACTTTAGGGGCCTTACGGACACAGCAAGCGAGTAGGAGCCCCAGGGCTGGTGTCCAGGTCGCCTCTGGAGCCAGTGCTCTTCCCCAGTGGGGCACAGAACCACCTCCCTCTCTGATTCGCTGCCATCTCTCTCGCCTCACAGTTCCTGTGGGAGCCATGAAGCTGAACGAGAGGAGTGTAGCCCACTATGCACTCAGCGACTCCCCAGCAGACCACACGGGCTTCCTGCGCACCTGGGGGGGCCCAGGGACCCCATCGACCCCTAGTGGCACTGGCCGAAGATGCTGGTTTGTCCTCAAGGGCAACCTGCTGTTCTCCTTTGAGAGTCGTGAGGGCCGGGCCCCGCTGAGCCTGGTGGTGCTGGAAGGCTGCACAGTGGAGCTGGCTGAGGCTCCTGTGCCTGAGGAGTTTGCCTTTGCCATCTGCTTTGATGCTCCTGGAGTGCGCCCACACCTGCTGGCTGCAGAAGGGCCGGCGGCCCAGGAGGCCTGGGTGAAGGCGCTGTCTCGGGCAAGCTTTGGCTACATGCGCCTGGTGGTACGTGAGTTGGAGAGCCAGTTGCAGGACGCACGCCAGAGCCTGGCTTTGCAACGCCGCTCATCCTGGAAGTCTGTTGCCGGCCGCTGTAAGCCCCAGGCTCCTAACCACCAATCTGTGGGCCTGGAGAATGGCCACTCCCTCTCCAAGGACAGCAGCCCCGTGGGCTTGGTTGAAGAAGGGGGCAGCAGGTCTTCAGGGCGGGGGTTGGCTGAGTGGGAGCTGCAGGGCCCTGCCAGCCTCCTCCTAGGCAGGGGGCAGAGCCCTGTGTCCCCTGAGACCTCCTGCTTCTCTACCCTCCATGACTGGTATGGCCAGGAGATCATGGAGCTGCGGCAGTGTTGGCAGCAGCGGGCCCAGAGGAGCCAGCCAAAATGTGAGGAACAGGATAAGCCCTAAGTCTGGACCCTTTGAGTCAGGAAACCAGGGCCAGTTCTTTTTCAGGAGTTAAATGTTTACCCATTTCCAATGTTGTGTTTTGGGAGGGGACACGGGTTCTCTCCTTCCTGCTATTTAGGCATTCTCCAGATTCCAGATCCACCCGTGTGTCTGGAAGGGACTGAGGGACCATTCCTTCCATCCTCTTTATTTCCTGAGGTCCAGAGAGGAAAGGAGACTTAGACGCCACAGAGCAAGACCCCAATCTCCTGACTGCACTGGCTTGACTGGCCCCTCCCAGGGGATGTTAATGAAATGAAGGAAGTGGGAAATGTCACCTGAGAGTGTCACAGGCTTGCCCTACCTTTGACCTATACACCAGGCTCTGGAGCCATAATTTCCAACCTGGGGAGTCTCGTGTGCATTTAAATCCGAGGTAGGCTGCAGTATTGGCTTGAGGCTCTGACACTGTCAGAGAAAGTGGATTTATTGTGTCACAGGAGTTTCTGGGACCCAGCTCTTCCTGAGAGGGGTGGGAAGATTGGGGATCCTCACTCAGCAGTTTGGGTAGGGCCCTTTGAGGCAGAGGGTCTTCGGCCAGTGAAGAGAGATTTACTCTGCTCAGAGTGTTGGGGTCCCATCCTTTCTCCCCGGGTCCCCTGTTAACAGATGGTGCTGGACCTTGCCCCAGAAGGGGCTTGTAGCTTTTTTATGTCAACGAAATGCCCTCCTGTACTCTGTCTTCAGCAGCCAACTCCTGGAGCTGCCAAGTGAGGGGTTAAAGAAGAGGTGGGTAGGCAGCGTGGCTCCCTGGGTAAAGTTTGTTGCTTTGGTTCTCAGTCCTGGGTATTCTAGAAGTTTGGACACGGGATTCCGTTTCCTGTGCTAAAATTCTCCCTCCTGGCTGGGCTCCGGTAAACTGAAGCTGCTCGAGAAACCACCTGGAAACTCTCATAGCCCTGTTTGTCACCCAGGGTGTACTTGCCAGGACCTTTCCTTGCTACTCTTCCCAACATCGAGCGTGATTTTTCTATTGTTCTGGGAGGCAAAGCGGCTGGGTAACCAGAGCCTAACCAGACTGACGCCCCAGGGAGAAGACGCAGAGGCCGGGAGGAGACACCCCCTCCCAAACACACAAAACTTGCCCCTTCCTGGCCTCGGCTCCCCTCACTGGGGCCTTGGGCAGGGCTGACCCGCACCCAACTAGGCCTAAGGGGGACGCTCGGAGCCTCTTACCCCCAGGAGACGGAGATGCGCCCAGGGCGGGCGCCCGGACTGTTCCCCACCCCTGCCTGGAAGCTCCGCAGCCACTGCATTTTGTTGACGGGCCCTTCTCTTATTCCTACAGTGTTTTGTACGCGGTTAAAACACTAGTAAAGCTTTTTCATTATTACTCATTCGTCTCCCTGGGTTTATTTCCACAGCCGGCCGCTAAGTCCTGCTCCGGCCACCGTGCAGTCCTAGGTGCGGGACCCAGGACCGCGGCCCCGCCCCAGAGGACGCGGACGTAGGAAGCCGGGGCGGTGTCGCTGCTCTCGTGACGTCACCACGCCGGCCAGTGACAAACACCTCCCACCGCCCCAGGAGCCGCCAGCACTGCGAGAATGCGAGGGCTGGGCTTCTCGTGTGCTCCTCAAAGTCTCGCGAGGCTTCGGTCAGCGTTCTTCCCGAGGGCGGCACCCGGGCCGGGCGGTGGGGTCCGGCTGCCCTGGTGAGGGGCGGAGCTGGGGGCATGGCGTCCGGAGCGGCTCGCTGGCTAGCACTGGCACCAGTCAGGTCCGGGGCTCTCCGAAGCAGGCCTAGCTTGAGGAAAGATGGCGATGTCGCCGCCGCACGGAGTGGCTTAGGCCAGAGCCTGGTACCGTCGAGGTCAGTCATCGTTACCCGCAGCGGCGCCATTTTGCCCAAACCGGTGAAAGTGAGTGTCTGCCTGGAGACGGGGTGAAGGGGCTGAGGCCAATCATTGTGGGGAGTGCGTGAGGGCGGTGCTGATTGACGGGAGCCAAGGCCAATCATAACGACCACCTTAGACTGGAAGGCGGACCAAGAATAAATAACGCTAATGAGTTGCTGATTTTGACAGGTGTGTAGAAAATGGTAGGTAGACAGAAGATGGGGGGAAAACGCTGAGGAAGATGGCCTTTCACATTAGCTTGTCCTGAGAGGTGGGGTGCTCTGCACCTCTGGAGTCAGAAGACTAGGCCGTGTGCTTATAGCTTAGACCAGTCCTGTAATCTCTGCCCTGCCTGTCTCCTAGTTTATGGGATGAAATATTAATTGTGAAAGGATTCTGTAAATAAAGGGTACGTGGGACGGGCCTCATCTTTTTATGAGTTGTCACCTAGTATTCATGTGATTTACAGTCCTGCTAGATATGCAGGGAATTATTAAAATCACGGTTTTTCAAATGAACAATCGGGCTAGAGCGGTGAAGTTAGTATCCAAGGCCATCGCTGAGGCCGCAGCATCCGGGTTTCTTGCTGGTACCGTCCCCATCAGGTTCTATCTTTTTCTAACACTGAACGCTGTCACATGCTTGAGTTTTTCTAGGGAAAACGGAAACAGTCCCTTATATCCAACAAAAGTTTGCTTTAGTACTGCAGGGCTGTTGGTGTGGGAGTTAAAAAAAAACATTCTCTTAAAGCTAGTCTGGCCTATGCTAACTCACACAGTTGACTGCAGGTCCATGTTGGGAAAGACCTGCCTTATCAAAACAGTTGCAAAAAACTTTTTAAAATTCTAGGAATACGAGAGAAACGTTGCTGAGATTTTACTGACATTCTCCCAATCCATCTAAATAGTCTTTGAGTGTAAATACATGCCTACTTTCAAATACATCTGTTTCTAAAATTTTTAAATCAAATTTCTCAGGCATCAGGGAACGTGTTACTTAATGAACTGTATAGAATATCCCTTCAGTGTACATCTTTCTGTCATCGGTTTTCGTGTATTTCGTGTTCAGGTAGAGCTCACCATAGTCTGGCCCTCCTAGTACTGGTGCACCCGTATGCCTGTAGGGATTTAAAGTAATTAGCAGGCTGTGTCCTAACTTTAGATGTCTAGGGTGCCTTTGACTTTTCTTTCCAGTGGACTTTTCATCCACTTTGATGGCCATAACAGTCACCTTATCCCTTTTTCTTTTTTGTTTTGAGATGGAGTCTCACTGTGTCACCCAGGCTGGAGTACAGTGGCACAGTCTCCGCTCACTGCAACCTCCGCCTCCCGGGTTCAAGTGATTCTTCTGCCTCAGTCTTCTGAGTAGCTGGGACTACAGGCGTGTACCACCACACCCGGCTAATTTTTTGTATTTTTAGTAGAGATGGGGTTTCACCATGTTGGCCAGGCTGGTTTCGAACTCCTGACCTCGTGATCTGCTTGCCTCGGCCTCCCAAAGTGCTGGGATTACAGATATGAGCCACTGCGCCTGGCCTTTTTTCTTTTTTTAAGACAGAGCCTCACTCTGTTGCCAAGGCTGGAGTGCAATGGTGCAATCTTGGCTCACTGCAACCCCTGTCTCCTGGGTTCAAGCAATTCTCCTGCCTCAGCCTCCCAAGTAGCTGGGATTACAGGCGTGCGCCACCATGCTGGGCCAATTTTTTGTATTTTTAGTAGAGACGGGGTTTCGCTATGTTGGCTAGGCTGGTCTCAAGCTCCTGACCTCAGGTGGTCCACCCACCTTGGCTTCCCAAAGTGCTGGGATTACAGGTGTGAGCCACCCCGCCTGGCCCTCTCCTTTTCTAATTACTTTTCTTGCCCTGAATTTTTCCAAGGATTTTAAAATCAAGTTGCTTATGATGGGTCTGAGGTCCACAGGAGGGTATGTCCGTGAGAGGGCCAGGTCTTCTTTGGTCCTGCCAGAGTGGGCTCTGGAGCTCACAGCTGCCACTCTGACCCTCTGCAGATGTCCTTTGGCCTTCTCCGTGTGTTCTCCATTGTGATCCCCTTTCTCTATGTCGGGACACTCATTAGCAAGAACTTTGCTGCTCTACTTGAGGAACATGACATTTTTGTTCCAGAGGATGACGATGATGATGACTAACAGGTAAGACTTGCTTTACCCTAGATGGACGAGGAAGCAGGGTGGAGCATCTGTCTGTGATGCAGTCTGGCCTGGTAGCAGCATTTGGACAATGAGGGCAGAAGCTTTAATGAATTGACCCACTTGGTGGCTAATGTTTTTTGTTTGTTTTTTGAGACGGAGTTTCGCTCTTGTTACCCAGGCTGGAGTGCAATGGCATGATCTCAACTCACTGCAACCTCTGCCTTCCAGGTTCAAGCGATTCTCCTGCCTCAGCCTACTGAGTAGCTTGGATTACGGGCATGTGCCACCATGCCTGGCTAATTTTGTATTTTTAGTAGAGACAGGGTTTCTCCATGTTAGTCAGGTTGGTCTCAAACTCCCGACCTCAGGTGATCCACCCACCCTGGCCTCCCAGAGTGCTGCGATTACAGGCGTGAGTCACTGCGCCCAGCCGACTTCATGTGCTGTAATATGTGCTTCATGGCATTACTGTCAGAGATGAGGACACTCGTGACTCCTTAGCCTGGCATTCAAGGCTTGCCATAATCTGGTCACACCTCTTATTCCAGTCTCATCTTCCATATTTCCAGCCACACACCGATTCCCAGTATTCACCATTTCTTGAGTTTTCACCACTCATACCCACCCCCAAACATTGGCTCATTGTTCTTCCCACATGGAAGGCTGTTTCCGAGAGCTCTGGGTCTTAATTCCACCCCATTCTACAGTGTCTTTGAAGTCTTCCTTCCTCCCTTCATTTGAAAGTTGACTACTCCTTCCTCTGAGCAACCAGTACCTCCAGTACCTCTCTTCAAATACTCGGTATTATGTGTCTAAACACACTCAAACCAAAATTTTACTAGACTCTGAGCTTCTTGCTGGCAGGGGACGTTTTTTATACATTTGGGCCCCCAGTGCCTGGCCTGTGGTGAACGCCCAGTTAACATATGCATAAACAATCAAACGTGCTCAAAGCTGCCTTTCTCCTGCCATGTTTGACAGAAGCACTTTGTGGAATTCTTTCAGTCTGCGGATGGAAGACTACTCTGTTGCCCAGTTCACTGCTGCTTTCCTTTCTTCCAGGCATTACAGAAAGGAGAAAGCAGTAACTGAAGAAATGGTGATGCTCTCAGCTTCTCTGCCTTCCCTATCAGCAGAAGGGCTCAGGGAAGGCCCTCAGCCTCCCAGTCTGGTGAAGCTTCCTGTATGGTCCATGACCATATCCTACCCCAGGCTCTGGCAGGCTCCCTGAGATGTGCTGTCCACTAAGCACTGCACAAACAAGCAATCAAATTATGAATAAACATAATAAATATCAGCTGTGTGTGACTGAGTGATTGCTGTAGTTTCTCAGTATGCCTAGGCTCTAGTTGGTGCGGTTGTCTCTGCTGTCCTTTATTCATGAGAGAAACATAGGCCCAGGCTATCCAGGCTGCAGTGGAGCCCGGTGAACTATTCTGGGGGCCTGGGAACGATTTTCATTGTTTACAAAAGCCCAACAGAAACTGCGCATTTTCCCTTAAGAAAGCTACACGGCCTAACTAAAGCCTCATGCCATTCTGTGTTCAGTGCCAGTCATTTAAGTAGTACGCTCTGCTTGTTAGCATACTACTTAAATATAACTAGAATGATTCAAAACTTGGGTTCTGTGATATGAGGATATATATAGGTTTTCATCTATTTCCTGGCTTATAACTCGCAAAGCCCTTGTTTTAGGCTTTTGTTACAATGTTGGGCACTTCGGGCCTCAGAAAACAACAGTCTCTTTCTCAGACCTTCTCCTGACCTCCTTTCACCTGCTGCTTTTTCTCCCCAAGGCAGGCCATAGAAACTAAAAGTATAATCTTCCTTTGCCTGTCTTCGAGTTGGCCGTAAAAAGAATTCTCTGACCTACCTTGTCTAATTTTAGGTCATGAGACCCCCATTTCAGAAGGGATTCTTTCCCTTACCTGGGAGGAAGAAATGTGGACGGGCCTTGTTGGACTTCCCCACTCCATCTGTATTAGATTATGCCTCTTTTGTCTACTCCCATTTTTCCACCGTTGTCCATGCTTCAATCATCCCTATCCAATGAGGTCTCCATAAAAGGCCCAAGAAGACACGTTCAGAGAGCTTTCGGAGAACAGAACACTTGGCTTTGGAAAGTGGCATGCCTGGAGAGAACCTGGAAGCTCCATGCCCCTTCTTCTATACCTCACCCTATGCATCTCTTCATCTGTATCTTTTGTGATATCCTTTACAATAAACCAGTAAATGGACCTAAGTGTTCCCGAGTTCTGCAAGCTGCTCCAGCAAATTAAAAAGAAGGGGTCATGGGAACTCCAACTTGAAGCTCAGAAGTGCTGGAGGCTTGGACTTGTGAATGTTGTCTAATGGGGGTGGGAGCAGTCTTGTGGGACTGAGCCCCAAACCCGTGGAATCTGATGCTATCTCCAGGTAGATAGTGTTGGAAGAGAATTGGAGGACAGCCAGCTGGTGTCTGCTGCAGAACTGACTGCTTGCTTAGTGTGGGGAGAAACCCTCATACGTTTGATCACAGAAGTCTTATGTGTTTATTGTTACTGAGTGAGAGAACACAAAAACATTTTTGAGTTTTTTCCTCAGGTTCCTAAGGTGAAAATATAAAGGGATCCTTGGTGCCGTAAGTTTTGGGGCCATGCACAATGGCTGAGGCCTGTAGTCCCAACACTTTGGGAGGCTGAGGCAGGAGGATCACTTGAGCCCAAAGTTCAAGACCAGCCTGGGCGCAGTGGCTCACGCCAGCACTTTGGGAGGCCAAGGCGGGTGGATTGCTTGAGGTCAAGAGTTTGAGAGCAGCCTGGCCAACATGGTGAAACTCCGTCTCTTCTAAAAATGTAAAACTAGCTGGATGTGGTGGTCCACGCCTGTAATCCCAGCTACTTGGGAGGCTGAGGCAGGGAGAATCACTTGAACCGGGAAGCGGAGGGTGCAGTGAGCCAAGATCACGCCACTGCACTCCAGCCTGGGCAACAACAGCGAGACTCCATCTCAAAAAAAAAAAAAAAAAAAGAAAGAAAAAGAAAAAAAGACCAGCCTGGGCAATGGAGAGACCCCATCTCTACAAAAAAAAAAAAAAAAAGTATGGGACTCCTCAGTGATGATACCTATAGATTCCAAACCCCCTTCTCTATCATTTGGATTGCCCTGGGAAGGACGAGAGAAGACTACCATCCAAACAGAGATCAGTTCTTGAACCGGGGTTGTTGTTTATTTTCCTGCCACTGAGAGGTACACCAGAGTTTGCAAAGACCGTAGGAATATTTCTGTTCTCTGTGTGTATATTGAATAGCTGTGCACCTAGCAGGGTGCCTGAGTAGGAAGTTAATTTCATTTTAAGGGCTAGAGCTTGTTACAAGTAGTGGAGCCAAGCCTTTGCACATCCATTTTCTTCAGAACCCAAGGAAAACTAGCCCATTTTGACAGCTCTACTTTTGCACCTGTTAGTGCTGCTCTGATCCCTCTCTGACAGCAAGAGCTGGCTAATTTTGGATAATCTGTGCCCTGACACAAAGGTGTCTAATCATGGGGACTGTACAAAATACTACATTAACAAGTTATCCAGCCTCATGCCCAGTGTCAGTTTTTGAACAGATGGCCTCCTTCCTTCCTGTTTACTGACATGCAAGGCTCTGAGAAAAATAATTCAATCCAATTTACAGCAAACACCACATTTCAAGAAAAGGGAAAGAACAGGTGGTGTGTATACCAAAGCCCCACTTGCTCAGGCAAAAACAGGCTTCAGAAAATTGGTTCATCAATGGAATTCTATCACAAAGTGACCATCGTATAGCGAGTTTATTTGTGCTCTAAAATAATATCAACATGCACCTTTCCACTGAGTGACTTCATGGGTCATGGCCAACATAGAACTTGGATAGGAAATCCTTTGGCCTTGGCGCTTCTGTTTCATGGAAGAACCGCATAACATGCGTCCGCTGCTTCCATACTTTAATTGTTTCTTCCAGTTCCATCTTTCCCTGAACAGCGAGGAGAGAGGTCGTCAGTCACAGTGGTCAAGTTGAAGGCATATGACACTGAAGGCCAGGATTCTATTCTCTGCTCAGCATGGACTTGTTGAATGACCTTCGGCAAGTAACTACTCTGTCTGGGCAAAGTTTCTATGTCTGGACAATGAGATGGTTGGGGTAAATGATTTCTGAGACCTTTCAAAGATTCTTTAACTCTGTGGTTAACTGGTACCAAGAGGAGAAACATATAGGTTAACAGGCTCTTATCCCATGACCACCTAACTTGACTGGCTTATGTTTCTGTTTATCATTTCTTCTGTTACTGACTGGTCTATGCTGAAGCTCCCATTGATGCTAATGTGACTGGCCAGGGGGACAGAATCAGCCCCAGGATTTGACCCCATTTATACAGGACTCATAACCAGCCTAACTGCCTCTTCCAGCTGTAAACTGGCATTCAGATGAAGTGGTAACTTCTAGGGATGAGGTTCAAGAAGAATTCAAACTTTCCTCCCTATATCTTTTTTTTTTTTTTTTGGTTATAAAATGCAAGTCCCAGTGGATGTTGCCTTGATGAATCTTATCTGTTTATCCAGATGATAACCTCCAAGTTCAAGTATTTCTCTGAAATACAGCAATAATCACTGCTGAACCAGTAGCTGCTTTCTAAACTTGGAGACAAAATGTTCATTTGCAAAGACTGAGAAGTAGTGAACAAGTTGGTGATCTTTTAAATTGGTCAGGGAGGGTCAGTTACCTTAATGACCAGAAGATCAACCACCCTGGGGTCTGTGACGTGGGCATTCTTCATAAACATTTCTCGGACTTTATCCCGTCCCATTTTCACAGTGATGTCCAGCTGGAATTGGTGTACTAGAGAGAAAAACATGACTCAGGGTAGAAATTGTATGGTTAAAACATGTTTTTAAAACTAGAGTCAAAGGATACTCATTGAACACATACAGGTCGCCCATTCATTCCTTCACCAAAAATTAGTCTGACCCTAGGCTAGGTGCCTGAGGATGAGACGTGTGATTCATGGCATTTGCTCTCAAGGAACTTATTATTTTGTTTGGGGAAAAAGACCACTGAATTTGAAGAGGCAGTAAAGCATTGTTCAAGAGTTTGAACAACCTGGGTTCAAATCCCAACTTTTGTTAGGTATATGATCCTGTGTAAGTTAACTTTCTTGTACCTGAGTGTATTTTTTTTTTAATTATTTTTTTAGCCGGGTGCGGCGGCTCACGCCTATAATCCCCAGCACTTTGGGAGGCTGAGGAGGGTGGATCACCTGAGGTCAGGAGTTTAAGACCAGCCTGGCCAACATGGCGAAACCCCATCTCTACTAAAATTACAAACATTAGCCAGGCATGGTGGCGGGCGCCTGTAATCCCAGCTACTCAGGAGGCTGAGGCAGGAGAATCACTTCAACCCGGGAGGCGGCGGTGGCAGTGAGCTGAGATGGTGCCACTGCACTCCAGCCTGGGTGAAAGAGTGAGACTGTGTCTCAAAAAAAAAAAAATTATTTTTTTGGAGACAGGGTCTTGCTCTGTGTGATCATAGCTACTTGCACCCTTGAACTCCTGGGCCCCCGTGATCCTCCTGCCTCTCAGCCCGGCAAGTTGCTGGGATTACATGCGTGAGCCATTTTCCTGGCTGAGTGTATTTATTTATCAATAAAATGAAGACAATAACAGCACATATAACTCCAGGGCTCTTGTGGAGATTTCATGAGACAATGCAAAATGCTCACAATAGTGCCTCACATGGAATAAGCTCTCAATAGACATTAGCATTTTTTTTATATGGAACAATCGGCAAAAGAAAACAGGATTGAAATTAATGTAAAAGGATGTGGCCTAGGCTGTTAAGTACTACACAAACTTTGAGTTGAGGGAGACTGCTAGGGGTTTATGCAGGTTAGGGAGGCTTCAATCCAACAAGCAATTAATACCATCTTAGGTTACTTAGAGGAAGCAAAGTTTAAGATGTAGCTCCACTTGTCTAGGTGTTAAATTCTGACTGGAGGGACAGCCAGCTATGAATATAAACATAAAATCATAATATTCAACAATCCCTGATTAAGCTCCTAAAACAGTGACAAAGATTCAGTAACCTGGAACTTCAGATGAGACGTAAGGATATCCTTTGAAAATTAGGTTTTAGTTACATGCATTACCACCCCCTGGGACGCTCAGCCATCAGTGGATTTGTTGATGACAAGGTCATGAATAGGGTCTTGCGTGGTAGGTGGGATACACATAGGGTGACAGAGGCACACTAGGCTGTGGGGACAGCAAAATCAAGGCTCCCAGGCTAGAATGAGCAC